CCAAAAAATTGAGAAGGAAGGGACAATACCAAACACGTTCTATGAAGCCAATATTACACTAATACCAAAACCGAATAAGGACAACACAAAAAAGGAAAACTATAGGCCAATCTCCCTAATGAACACTGATGCAAAAATCCTCAATAAAATTTTAGCTATCAGAATCCAACAATGTATCCATAAGATAATTCACCACGACCAAGTTGGATTCATTCCAGGGGCACAAGGATGGTTTAACATCCGAAAATCAATCAACGTTATCCAACACATCAACAAAAAGAAATATAAAAACCATATGATAATATCAATAGATGCTGAGAAAGCTTTCGACAAAGTGCAACACCCATTCATGATAAAAGCCCTTGAAATTCTTGGGATACAAGGAACATACCTCAACATCATAAAGGCCATCTATGACAAGCCAACAGCCAGTATCATTCTCAATGGTGAAAAGCTGAAAGCAATTCCATTAAGATCTGGAACAAGACAAGGATGTCCACTCTCACCACTGCTTTTCAATATAATACTGGAAGTCCTAGCCAGAGCAATAAGACAAGAGAAAGACATCCAAGGAATCCAAATAGGAAAAGAAGAAGTCAAACTATCACTATTTGCAGATGATATGATAATATACATAGAGAACCCCAAAATCTCCACAGAAAAACTAATTCAACTCATCAATCAATTCAGTAAAGTGGCAGGATACAAAATCAACACGCAAAAGTCAGTAGCCTTCCTATACACAAACAATAAATCTGAAGAAGAAGAAATCAAAAAAAACCACCCCTTTTATTATCGAAACAAAAAAAATCAAATATTTGGGAATAAATCTAACAAAAGAGGTAAAGGACCTATACAAAGAAAACTATAAAACTGTTAAAAAAGAAATAGAAGAAGACACAAAGAAATGGAAAGACATCCCCTGCTCATGGATTGGAAGAATAAACATTATTAAAATGGCCATCCTACCAAAAGCAATATACAGATTCAATGCTATTCCAATCAAAATCTCAATGGCATTCTTCAAAGAAATAGAACAATTATTGATGAAATTCATATGGAATCACCAAAAACCCCGAATAGCCAAAGCTCTACTGAAAAAAAAAGAAGGAAATGGAGGCATCACACTCCCAGACTTCAAACTATACTACAAAGCCATAATCATCAAAACTGCATGGTATTGGAACAAGAACAGACATACAGACCAATGGAATCGAATAGAAAATCCAGAAATAAACCCACAGATTTATGGTCAACTAATCTTTGACAAAGGAGCAAAGACTATGCATTGGAGCAAAGAAAGTTTGTTCAATAAATGGTGCTGGGAAAACTGGGTCGCTACATGCAAAAGAATGAAGCTTGACCACTACCTCACACCATACACAAAAATCAACTCAAAATGGATTAAAGAACTAGACATAAGACCTGAAACCATAAAATACATAGAAGGAAATATAGGCGAAACACTACGGGATTTGCACAGCAAAGACATCTTTACAGACACATCACCCAAAGCAGTGATAGTGAAGAGAAAGATAAACAGCTGGGACTACATCAAATTAAAGAGCTTCTGCACAGCAAAAGAGACAATAACAAAAACAAAGAGAAACCCCACCAACTGGGAGAACATTTTTGCACCCAACACTAATGATAAAGGACTGATCACAAAAATCTGCAAAGAGCTGATGAGACTCAGCAACAACAAAGAAAATAATCCAGTCAAAAAATGGGCAGAAGAGCTAAAAAGAAACTTCTCTGAAGAGGAAATGCAAATGGCCAACAGACATATGAAAAAATGTTCAACATCACTTGTAATCAGGAAATGCAAATCAAAACTACCATGAGATACCATCTCACACCAGTGAGAATGGCACATATTAAAAAAACTAGCAACAACAAATGTTGGCGAGGTTGTGGAGAAAAAGGAACTCTTGTGCACTGTTGGTGGGAGTGCAAACTGGTCCAACCACTATGGAGAGCTGTGTGGAGATTTCTGGACCTACTAAACATAGAGCTTCCATATGATCCAGCAATTCCACTCCTAGGTATTTACCCAAAGGACACAGAAACATCAATTCCAAAGAGCACCTGCACTCCTATGTTTATAGCAGCACTGTTTACAATAGCTAAGCTTTGGAAACAACCCAAATGCCCAAAAATAGATGACTGGATCAAGAAGATGTGGTACATATATACCATGGAATATTACTCAGCATTCAAAAAAGATAAACACATGCAATTTGCAGCAACATGGATGGCACTGGAAGGGATCATGCTCAGCGAAATAAGCCAAAAAGAAAAGAAAAATACCGGATGGTCTCACTCATAGCAGGAATCTAGAAAACTTAAATAAGGACCAGGAAAATGAATATAAGAAAGTGAAAATCAAAATCAACAAAAAAACTATGAACCAGAGACACTTTTTGGGGGTGGGGGCGGGAGGGGAAGGATTGGGGTCAGAATGGGGCGTTTGCAATTGTATGGGGGAATATAAAATAAAATTAATATTTAAAAAAAAAAAATAAAAAAAATAAATATGCAAAAAAAAAAAAAAAAAAACCCAGAAATAATTCTAAGAAGCCTTGTAGTAAGAGAGAAATGTGCCCAAAATGGAGTCAGAGATAGCTGCAGATTCTACCATTGGCTAACTCTGTAATCTTGAGTAAATTTATTATCTCCTTTGAGCCTTTCATCAGCTGTAAAATAATATAGTCATAATGATAATGACAATGGAATTCATAACATTTAGCCAGTAGGTTAAATAAGAGGAGAGGGCCTCCCTGGTGGCACAAGGGGTTGAGACACAGCACTTTGAAGCTAACCAGAACCACTGCAGCACAAGTTTGATCCCTGGCCCTGGAGCTACCTACATGGGGCAGCAGACCTCTCCTGGTTCGCCTGCTGCTCCCCTCAGCAGTGTATTTCAGTCAATCTGCCTGTTCTGTTCCCCACTCTGTCTCTGGTGAATCCTCTCACCCCCCACACCTCTGGCCTGTGCCCCAGCTCTTGGATGCATAAATAGATAAATCTTTGAAAAAAAAATAAGAGGAGAATAAATGTAAAATATGTAGATGCGTGCTCACACACAGGAACCCCACATTACATCTTATCAATAGCTTCCTTCTCTGTCTCCTTACCCTTCCACTTGCTTTGTCCCCATTTGTGCTAGGATCTCAGGATTCCTCACTCTGGCACTCCAAGCTCCCCACCCTTCAGAGGCAGTAGGCTTGGATTAATTATTCCACCACTTCAAAATTTACAAGCTTGTACTCTCCTCTCAAGAGTCCTGCTAAATGTATGAATAGCTCCTCTGATAAGTCAAATTTCTGTTAAGATGGCAGTGGTTGATAGTGATTGATAAAGTTTTGATAAGCATCTACTCTAAGGCAGAATCAAGCGAAGATGGAGAACAGGGAGAGTTGGAAGCTGGTGGGAGTCTGATTAGGGTAGGTGGTGTTTTTGGTATGAATGACCTTTCCCAGAACCCCATAAATCACATTACATAGTGCTTTTCTCCAGGGAGTTTGCCTGTACTTGCACATTTTCAATTAGTTGAATATTTTCAAATTTTTCCCTCCTTTTTTTTATGAGGTCTTTCCCACTGCCTTCTGGTAGTCTAAAGTTATAGGGATGGACTCTTTAATCAGTGCCTTGTTTTTCTTCAAATTTATAATTTTACCATACTCCAGCACTTATTGATTACTTGTGACTTAGTGGTGCATTTCATAAAGGTTTTAGGACTTCAAAACTCAGACTGAGTAGGTGACCTGATGTTGGTCCTCTGGATTGTCCTTTGGGAACCCATGTAGCATCTAAGCCAGCAAATTTTCAAGGGTAGTTTGGGTCACCCTCAGTTCTACCTCAAAGATGTTGTAATATCATATCATAGGATCATATAAAACTATGGCAGGGAAGGCCCCAGAAAACAGTTAGTTTGACTTCAGGTCCAGTTTTTAGATAATATATGAGAACATATATTACTGTCATTAAAAAGTGATTTCTTGATGAATGTTCATATTGATCTGGACAATCACCATTGTTGACAATATTCCGAGAAAATCTAGGACTGAGCACTGAGGACTGAGTGTTGCTTACGAAGTTCAGGAGATCTGGCTGAAAGGATAGGATTTTATTTGGGGGTTTGTGTTGCCATTTTTTTTTTTTTTTAAAGAACAAATCAAAAGGCTGGATAAAATTCACATCGCTGAGTCCCACTTCCAGAGTTTGTTACTTACTCGTCCTGGAGTGGAGTCAGAGAACCTGAATTTCTAATAAGTCCCAAGGAAATGCAGATGTTGCTGGGAGAGCAGGGGGACCACACTTTGAGACCCAGTGAGTGATCAATTCCATTATTTTACAGAAGCCAAATTCTGAGAAGCTCCATTTTATTATTTTAATGATATGGGCAGAGTTACATGGTAAGGTCTGGCTAACTCAGTATAACTCAGTGGCTTAGCAAATAATTTATTTTTTGCTCAGGTAATAGATCTACTCCTCATGACATCTTCTAGATCAAGACTCAGCCAGCAGTCCCTACGTGAGATATGTTCTTTCTGTGGGTTGAATTGTGTGCCCCTAAAATTCATATGCTGAGATCTTATCCCGCCAGTACTTCGGAATGTCACCTTCTTTAGAGATAGTCTTTACAGACGTAATCAAGTTAAAATGAGGCCATGAGGTGGACCCTAATCCAATATGACTTGTGTCCTTATAAAAAGGAGAAACTTGGAGACACCCTCAGGGCCAATGCCATGTGAAGGGATGGGGGGTGGGGAGAAGTGGGCCACCCACAGGCCAAGGAGTCTGTGGTTCTTAGAGGGAGGCAACCTTGCTGACATCTTGACCTTGGACTTCAGCCTTCAGCATCTGCAAGAATAAATTTCCTTTATCTAAGACATTACATGTTGTTGAGTTTTCCTAGCTTCAGTGGGATTATTTGTCTTTTAATAAGGAAAATTTACCTGCTCACTATTGTGATAACTGAAAAATATTTGCCATGCTTTAAATTTTTTATTATCTGTGTACACAAATTATTTCCTGTTCATTGCATATACAGAGAAATGGAAATGGAGTGATAAATGCCTATCTTTTAAGTGCAGTCCTTCAATTAATCACCCTAATGATGTCTGGGTTCTCTCCAACTCTTGACAGCTATTGACTGAATGGAGACCACTCGCAGGACCAGTGCAGGGATGTCGTCCTTACACGCGGCTTTGCCTTTCTCTGTTCTTTTATCCTTCTTTTAATACCACCTGTTATCCTTCTTGAATACATTCTTCAACATTTTGGACTTACTAATGATGTTCTATTTTTCTATTGTTACTATGATTTTCTTAAAAAAATTCTTCTCCACATTTTTATGAGAATCTGAGCAAGAGAAAAGGAAAATACATGCACCCAGTCTTCTATATTGATCAAATTCCCCAAGAAATAACCCAAGATATTATTTCTAAATGCACTTGTTTTGGGGAGGGAAGTATTAGAGGCAGGTTTTGAGTATGTGTGTGTGTGTGTGTGTGTGTGTGTGTGTGTGTTTCTCCTATTGCAAAAATCTGGGTTATACTTATTTTCTTTTTTGTCTTGGAAGGGATGGATGTCATTTCCTCTTTTCTCTTTACCTCCTAAATTCTATTTGAATGCTATCAGTCAAAACTGTCTAAAAATGGTTCTCAAACTTGGCTATATCACTGGCCTGACATGGGGATGCTAAAAAAGATCTTGATACCTAGGTTTACTCCCAGACATTTTGATTTAAGTGGTCTGGAGTGATGCCTGGACATTGAGAGTTTTAAGAATCCCCCAGGTGCTGCTACTGTGCAGCAAAATGAGAATAACAGCTCTAAACACCAAATATGCTGAAGGCAAATGATGGGCACCATGTCCCCCAAATAAAGGGTGATTGCCATGGGGCAATTCTCACCTGAAAGTGCTGACTTCCAGACTTCAGTCTGACTTCCAGAGTGTAACAGGCTTCATTCATGCCTTTTTATATAGATTCTCCTGGTCTTTTATATATGTGCCCGACATTCCTGGTCTGACCCAAGACTTGTGCTATTCCTCTTGACTGAAACAGCCCTCGCTTCTTTGCCAATTTTGGTGTTGTGTTATCTGCTAAATCAGCCCCCAAGTCTCCTGAACTGTGAGCAGTTACATGATGTGGTTACCTCCATGGATTTGGCACCTGCTATGATTTGCATTTGAATCTTGACTGTCACTGACATCTGGGACAGGCTACTTCCCTACCTTTGTAAAATGGAGGTAATAATGGTGTGTTCTTCCTGTAGGCTACTTTGAAGTGTAAATGAATGAAGACAATGGAAATGCTTAGAGCTGTGACTGGCACTCAGAAAGCCCTCAGTCTCCAGTTAAAACTCATTAAAGGGTTCTCTTTCACAGTATTTAATTGCATTACCAGATATTAGGTTTCTGTGTTACTTTGGAGTTTTAATTATAAATTGCTATTTTATAACCATCCCAAACTTTGTGACTTAAAACATTATTAACAGTTTTTTAATTTCTCATGTTTCCACAATCTGGGCTATGTTTTGCTGAGTGGTTTAATAAAGCTAGAAAGTTCAAGATGGTTTCTTCACTCTCATACCTGGTGCCTTGGTTGGGAGGGCTGGATTTGACTGGGGTCATCTTCCTCTCTCTCTCTCTCTCTCTCTCTCTCTCTCTCTCTCGGTCTTCCTTAGCATGGCAGTTTCAGATTCGTTGTCCATTTCATGGTGAGTGGCTGTCCATAAAGAGGAAGCAGACATTCCCTGTCCTCCAAAGACCTGGACTCAGAAGTCCCAGAATATCAGATCTGCTCTACTGGTCTAAAGCAAACCCAGATGGAGGTGTGGGGATCTGGACACCATATATTGAGGTAAGAAAATGATGGACCCATTTTTGGAGACTATGGACCACAAGAATATTCTTTTTCTAAAATTATTTCTAAAACAGAAGCATAATTTATATGTCATAAAATGATCTATGTGTGTAATTCATTTTTTTGGGTAAAATTACAGAATTGTGTAACCATTATCACCACCCAACTTAAAAAAGCAAAAATAGAACAAACAAAACCTCCCCCCCCAAAACCAAACCAAACACCCACCACCATCTATGATATCCCTTCCACCCTTACTTCTCCCACTCTCTTTACCTCTGATAACTCATTTTGGTTTTCAATGTCCACTAGTTTATTTTTCTTTTGTTTTGTCTCTTTAATCTCCTAGTTTCCTTATATTGCACACATAGGCAAAAATCACCCAGTATTTGTATTTACCTTTCTGACTTCGCTTCACACAGTTCCTCAAGTTTCTTCCATGTTGCTGCAAATGGCAGAGTAGTATTCCAGGTGTATGTATGCTACATTTTTATCCACTCACCTGTCCCTGGAAACTTAGGTTGCTCCCATATCTTAGGTATTGTACCACAAGAATACTCTTCAATGATCTCAAGAACATATATTTTACTTCTCAATTAGACAGTACTCACCGCTAATCCTTTGACAATATATTTTCTCTCTCTTTTATAGTCCTGTAGAGTGTTCTGTAAACACCATACACTTAACAAATAGTTCTTGGTAAACTGACATTAGCACACAAAGCCCAGTGTGAGCAGGTGTGGAAGAAGTGGCTGACATGTTCAACCTGGGAGAGAATCTGCAAAAGAGGAAAAAAAAATTCTTAAGGAACTATGAATTTCTATGACGTGCCTCAGCTTCTAGGAAAAGCTGTCCATCTTTCCATTTTCCTTCCCTCCCTTCTCCTCCCTTCTTCCCTCCGTTTTATTCTTTGGTAGGTAACCTTAAAATGATCTCTAGTTTCAGAGGAGAAATGAAGCCACGCGCTCATGGGCTGTGCCACGTGTGTGTGTGTGTGTGTGTGTGTGCGTGTTACCATGGTGATCAGCTTAGCTGGTTTCCACAGCGCCAGCCCATAGGCGTTTCTTCTAAGAACCCAAGGTCTCCTTCATTTTTCATCAATTCTGGATGCGAACACTTGATTGCCACACAGCCTTTTCCTTGAATTGTATTTCAAAGATTAATGGTTGGTGGAAGAGCGATCAAGGTTTAGATTCTCATCAAGAGACTCATAAAATAAGCATGTGAAATAGAGCTGTGGAAACAGAGCAGGGTTTTTGAAGATTTTGAAATATGAATCTAAAGCTGCTTACATCTGGATCTTTATCGGTTTCCCATTGGAAATGAAAACGGGCTACCTTAGGTTTAGAGGCCACATGGAGCATTCGGCCTCAGGGCTACTGATGCTCGCTAGTTATTTTTTCTCTAGGCATCCCTTTGCCCGGCTTCTGGTGCTTCTGGGCACTCAAGGCAAGTAAAAAGCAAGGAAGTCACAAGGAAGTAAAAAGGCACCTTCAGAGGGAGTGCTCGGCCTGCCCTGCCCAGAAATCTGTCAATAGTTGGGGCCCCCCTGTTATTCCCTTTATGCCAGAAATTTTTCTAGTCTTGGGTTTCCTGAGAAATTTTGATGTCTTCCTAACACCGAAGAATTTTTGACTTTTAAAATACGTCAGAATAAAACTTTCTAGTTTATGTTATTTATTCAATGAGGGCAGCCATGGGGTCTTAATAGTAGGCGCCTTTCCTGGGGAGTTGGTCTAGGAGTCCACCCCTCCCTACAATTTCCTAAGGGATTTTTGTTTATTCCACTGGGAGCCCATAAGTTCAAGAGTTTGCCGTCATTGATTTTCATCCTCAAGCCACAACTGAGAATTTCAAGTATCAGGAACTAGTGTCTGAGTGATTGACAGGTGCCCAAACACTCTGCTCAAGGTGCAATTAAGGGTTGGGGTTTTGAACGCACACAGATGCTGCTTGTAAGCACTTTCTACTAGTTTTCACTTGTGCAACCTGGGGCAGGTCACTTATGACTCATCTGGGCTCAGAGCTGGGCAACCTGTATTCTAGTTATGGCTCTGTTGCTGTCTTACTGTGTGCCTTGAGTCAAGTTCTAGAAACTTCCATGGGCTCAGTCTCCACATTTTTAAGGTGAGCGTCAAACAAGGTTATGTTCAAGACCATCCCCAGCTCTGCTCATTGTGGCCTCATGGCTCTGTCTCTGCTCAACACTGGCTGATTTCTGTCACTATATTCCCTTGGCTTTTGGATATTTCCCTTTGACATCAGGCCTCACTGTGGGTTCCAATTCAGTAAGGAAAAAAGCATATGGATTCTTTCTCCCCTTATAGTAATGAATACCTCTTGAACTTTTTCTCTAAGGAAAGCAGGCTTCTAGGTATGCCGTGGACAGGACAGCTGATGATGTACTCTGCCATTAACGAAGACTCAGAGTCTAGAATTTGCAATGGGGGGAGGCTGGGGAGAGAGCCATCGAGAGTGGCTCTGCCTTTCACTCTCCCAGCCCAAGCTTTCATTGAAGATATGAACAAAGGAACAAGAAAATAGCACACAATTGTGTGGTTTTTTTTTTAATACAGATTAATAAGTTACTGCTGAAACAAGTTTTCCTGGTTAGTAGGGAACATGCGCAGAAGCCAGCACATCCTCAGAGAACAGGAGTCAATTCTGGGAAGAAGATCTGTTTGCAGAACTTCTAATGTCCTGGACCTCCGTATGCAGAGTAAACAGGTCTTCTACAAAAACTCCAGCTCCCCTTAGGGCAGCAGCCTCCCAACATAGGTAGAAGAGCAGCCACAATCTGTGTTAAAGAAAAACTAACCATTTTTATTTCCTCTCATTATTCTGTAACTTGATTCTACCTCAGGGCCTTTGTACATATTGTCCTGACAATATGTCCTGTCATGCCTGGCTCGTCCCCTCTCACATTCAATCTCTAGTGGAATGCTTGGTTATGGCTCTGACAGGACTGTGCTCATGTTATAGTCAAGTGTGCCTCCTGCTGGCAGAACCTCTGCCCTGTGACAGCAGGTGCTTTGCCAGTTCACCTCTGATTCCCTGCACCTGGAATAGTGCCTGGTCCTCCGTCAGGACTCAGTTAGGCCCCAATAGACCCCCGAGGCTTTCAATGCTGTGAGGCATGAGAAATGCAACCACCATAGTAGTTGAGTTAGATAAACTGAGGTAAGGATCAATTCCACTCTCTTAAATCCTGACCTGGATCCTGGTCCCAGTCTGGCTTGCCAAGAAGCTAACTGCTTTGGTGCTGGGATTTCACGTCTCTGTACCTCATATTATTCACTTAAATATCAATGAATTGGATTCTTAAAATTAATACCTTGTATGCATGGACTTCCTTATCTGTGCCTGGAGCTGGCTTAGCATTTCATACTCATTGTTTCGTTTTGTCTCACACTAGGCCCCAGGAAGGGCATAATTATCTTTATTTACAGAAGTAACGGACACGGAAAAGCTGGCCTGAACACGTCTGCTGGGGTGTCCTAGTAAAATACCATAGGTGGGGGACTTGAACAACAGAAAATATGTTCTCACAGTTCTGCAGGTTGGAAGTCCCAGATCAAGCTGTGACAAGGTAGGTTTCTCCTGAGGCCTCTGTGGGGTGTCTGCTAACACCTACAAATCCATTGTTCTGTAATGAAATTCTCCACATTCAGTACCATTTTACATGACAGTCATCTCAATGCCTCACAGCAATGTCAAGGCGCTTACTCTTAGAAATTACTCCCTAAAACACAGGTTGGGGTTTCCTCCAGTCTGGTCAACTGAAGCGCCACACGGGCCCTGGATGTAGCTGTGGACGGTGAGATGTTCTGACCAGGAGCCTCTTGGACTCGTCTTGTGTGACTGTGGCTCCTTTCTTTGTTCTCAGAGAGACTTAGAAGTGTGGAGATCCTGTTGGGCGCGGTGGATGCTGGTGCACGCGGCCTCTGTTTACTTAGCGCAGCTGCTTCCTTGAAAGCCTGAGGTGAAAACACACCACTTGGGCAGAGGAGGAGAAGAGTGTTCCCCGCTCACCCATTCAAATTTGTGTTAATCCTCCATAGATTGCTTAAATAGGCCCTCAAACATTTTGGGGCCTTCTCAGTTTATTTTGTATGTCTGGTCCTTTTCTGGCTTTAATCAAAGTCTTGTACATGATGATGGGAAAATGAATGTCAGAAAAATTTAAATCTACTTAAATGGAAGATGCTTAAGAGGTTTATAGCCCTTGGCTTCAGGAAAATTGACTTTTCAAAAGACTTTTAGGTTGACTGTATTTTTCGTTAAAAATAAATTGCACCAAAAATACTGAAAAATAAAATCTGTGTAAGCAAAAGAGCAAATATTGAGCTATTAATTCTGTAATCCTTTTAATTCTGTAATTAACATCCTACAATTTCATAAGCTACCAATTTTGCTTGCCTTCAGGTATCTTCAAGTGTATTCCAGAAATTGCTATTCTGAAGCTATAAAAGCTTATAATGCCTCTTAAAATTTGTTTATTTAAAGATGTTTAAATATTTGTTTTTAGAAGTAAGCATTATTTTTCTAGGCAGAGAAATTCTCAAATCTATTTAAATCATCATTAAAAATCATTTGATTTTAGAGGTAAATATGAATTTTATTTGTAAGAGATGCTTATGAGATTCTATCAGGAGTCAGACTTCGGCTAATTATTGGTATTAAAGGCTAATATAAATTATTAATTAAAAACCAAGCAGAAACAAGAAAATAAAATCAATTATAGCCCATCTACAAGCACATACCAGATAATAACAAAATTAAAAATCATGTATCGCTCCTTATTTGCAGAAAATATTGTGAAAAATAAGATTAAAAAAAAGTACATGCACCCCAAATTAGTCTCATCACTGGGGATAAATAAATAATAAAGAAGTAATAATCTGTTTAACTGGGATGACTTGCCAGGATAGCCAAGAGGAACTAATACTAGGTCCGTTACCATATGTACTAAAATAATAGTTACTGACCTCAGAAATGTAGAGAACTGTGCAAATGGTTTTCAAATATAACTTCAATTACTGGAAGTGTTTGAATGGTTTTACACGTGATCTTTAATTTGCTATAACTTTGCCATACAAGGTTTCCCATCTCAGAGGCAGCTGTGCCTACCAGTTGGAGGTCACTATCTCTCTTGGGTCATTGTGTGAACCAGATGGTGAGAGCTTCTTGGAACGTGGGTGGGGACTATGGACATAGGATAGGTCTGAATACAACAGTGCCATTACCATTACCTTTGTATGTATTGGGAAAATTGATGTGAGAAATACATTCTCCGAGCAATTGGTGCCAGGATTCTTTGGGAGACAACCTTTTTCGTCTGAACACTCTACTAAAATTTGGGATAGTGGGTGAGAGAGAGCCTGAGGTCAACAAGAGATTCAGAAGCAATAAAATAGATTGTTAAAATGCTTGGAACAGGAAAATAAAAATTATTCCGCTTTCAGAGGAAAGGGATGAATTGCCGGGGGAGATGTGATCTGCTAATTAAACAGATTGGGAATGGGGATGCCTAATATTACATTGCCTAATATTTAAAGAGGCTGTTAATATTTCTATTTGTATTTCTTGTATTCCTGTATCTGTTGTGATACTGTCCCTCCTCCCCCTCATTCCCTTTGGAGATTTGAGAGATGGAGGGAAAGGATTTTCACATCTAGTTTCATGGAGTTCAGATATGAAAAAGCCATTTGTCCATCAACTGGGCAAACCAAGGTTACTTCCAGGAGTTCTTGGGAGATCAAAATCTTACCCAGGAATTTTCAGAAATTGTGGAGGATGGATTTGGACTTGCACAGGGTATGGAATTGGGATTTTGACGCTGTTTGGTATGGATCTCAGGACACTGGATGTAGCAGGTGCCATCTTGGTGGCATGGGAAAGGAAAACAGACCCTAAATGGATCTGGCATAGCCTGTATGGAAAACAGCAAGGAGAGGCCTTAAAAAACAAAACTTGACATCCC